AACTCTTCAGTTAATGACTGAATAATCTCCCGGCGAGCTATACGATAATAAAATATCCGTAGACATTATAAGAATGCTGGTCGTAAAGGAAAATATTTGAAATTGAGAAATTTTTCCATTTCACTGACCATGTGGTCTCTGTATTCAGTCCTTAAAAACGTTTGATTGGTTCTGCACAAAACCTTCACCACTATAATCAAATCATATGTGCTGGTGTCTGGACTGTCGGTTCTTAGGAACTGAGTTACTTGGCCCTCATACGTCGAATACGACGGGAGAGTCCACCATATATATATATATATATATATATATATATATATATATATATATTACTGTCTCTGGAAATAAAAGATCATCAAATGACGAAAATGCAACTTCCGATTTCACTTTTAAAGTAAACCATTTCAATTTGACAACCGACGCATGAATCATGTTGAAAGACGCATGCAAACCCCATCTTTTAGAATATGTGCATATATCATAAAGTTTAGACACGTGTGAAACGAAATCACGTATTCAAACGCCATCTATAGAAAAACGCTACGAACGTTTGTTCCACTTCAACACAATGAAATATCTTTATCAGATAAGATATAATACATCGCATCTATATATTTGGTGTCATTTACATGCTTATGATTTTTACATGAGAATCTATTAAGGGAGGTGAGTACGATTGTGATTTTGGCAATTTTAACTCAATAAAGGTTCTCTTGTTATTTATTAAACACAGCTTAATTTTTCACAGGGATTATAGTAATAATCGAACTCACTTCTTTCATATAACGCGTCCCTTCAGGACGTTGGTGATCATAGTTCTACACAATTTCCTGTCCTTTGTAGCTCTTAGTAAATTTTATCTTTTTGATAACTTTCCTGATTTCTGTTCTGTCATCAGGCTCGTTAAGTAGTTTATGTTCTGTTTCCTCTGTCCTTCTTGCCTTCAATACACCCTATGAGTGTCAAATTTTCTAAGCCTTTTTTTCTTCATTATGCACCTTGGAAATTCCAACTCTTTCTTATGTTAAATATAAGTGTCCTTTTTATTTCAATTTTCTCTAAAATTTCATCGTTGCCTACATATCTGAAGAAATAAATTTCTGTTGCTTCAAGTATTTTCTTCATCTGCTAGGAGATTGTCCAGCATTCACTGCCATATAGGAGGACCGATATTACACTATTCTTTGTTTCTAGCAGAATTTTACTGTTTCTTAATACTTTACTTAGTTGTTGGAACGCATCTTTCGCTAATCCAAACTGGCGCTATAGAATTACAAGGAAAGAACTGTATCATATAACAGAAATAATATCACTTGAGTACCTTCAACATCAATAACTACTGAAATGGATATCACAGATAAGTCGAAGAGAAAATAATGGCATAATAAGGATGTTGTCTCTCCACACTACTTCAAACAAAAGGTTAGGAAGGAAGCCCCCATCAATACTGGAAAGAGTGATAACAGCTACTGGGCTTGAGAAGAGAAAATAATGACATTATCAAGATGTTGACATTCCACGCTACCTCAAATAAAAGGTTAGGAAACAAGCCTTCATCAGTATTAGAAAGATCGATAACAGCTACTTGACATGAGAAACCTATTTTCCTAAAAAATTGTTTTAAGAGAAAGGTTTTATGAATTTCAGTCGACAGTAGTACTGGCTGCTTGGTGAATGAATGCCGAATGTTTCCTTATAAAGAAACGGCTAATATTACGATTACCATTAGGATTTCGGTGTAGCATTTTCTATCCTCTTTTAAAACACTTCTTAGATATTTAAATTTTTGTAATTGATTCTACCGTTTCCAATTTGTAATCCGCATGTTGGGCTGTCTCTTTTGCTGACAACTATACATTGAGCTGTTGCTATGAGTCAAATGATATGTGAGACAAACTTGTTAATCATTCAACCTATTTTATGAATTTCTTTGATTTGCTCAGGCTGAGGTATTCTACATTGATATTCATTTCAGAATATCAATGTAGGTTCCACCCTTTGAACATCAGAAACAAAGTTAACCTTTTTTTCCTAAAAAATATTTTAAAATTCCCCTGCATCTTATATGCCTTATGCGGGTTTACTAATTTTACTAATTACTATCTTTTTCTTGATTTGCCATGCTGAAATTGGGGGTGCGTCTTATACACCCGTGCGTCTTATATACAGTCAAATACGGCAATTATAGGGGTCAGATGGTTCTTCAGATTTCTTAAAGACAGGAACTACAGAGGAGGTTTTCCAAGAAATTGAAAAGCAAGAAATAATGAGACAATTATTGTAAAGTTTGGAGAGAACAGGAGCCCTGCTCAGGAGCAAATTACTTTAGGACAATTGCAGGGGGTACCGTCGAACCCGCAAAGCTTATGAGGAACTAGTTTAGAAATGACGGGAGAAATTATGAACGGAATTATGTTCATATCACTAAGTAGAGACTCTGTTCTAGGGGAAAATGAGTCAGAAATATGAATCGAGAGTGGAATTGGAAGAGAATTTTCGAGTAAAGCAATCTGATTTATCTGCAGTAGATGACAACACTTCAAATTGATTGAAGAAATGAAGGACTGAGGATTTGCGCTTGTTCAGTACACTCTTGCAGAGTCGCCAGGATCCTTTAGGACCAAACTTGTGAGAGGTTATACGGTGTCTCATTCTATCAGCAAATAGTGACTTTGCCTCTTTGAGGACACGCTTACATTCGTTACGAGTGATGACAAAGTGACGTTTATTATAATCGAACATGTCATTCCGGAAGAAGTTATTTCTGTGGGCTATAGCAGCTGAACAGGCAGGAGATAAAATTATGGTTACACTTGGTATTTCCATGCTTCAATGGAGGCTTTCCTACAGGAAAGACCTCGGTTTCATATGTTTCAACTGGATGATAAAAAGATATCAGTCTAATAGGCATGGAAATGAAAATCACGTAATGCGTCCCAATTCTATTCATAATAGAAAGATGTTCTGTTAACAGGGTTTTTTTTTGCCTGATGGAAAAGCGGAATGAGATAACTATGGCCGGAGTTGCCAAGAGGACAGAGATGCAGAGCACGATAGGAATTCGGGGTGGAGGCAAGAAGTTTATTAAGTACAGAAGCGTGTCCGTCAGAATTAAAAGGGAGACATCAGACACCAAGATATTTGCAGACGAGTGTAAAGAGAGGGCCTTATCTATACTACAACCTTATGCAAATTAATTGAAACAACCGATTTAGTTTCTTTTTGATATAATGGAATATGCGTACACCCGTGTTCCCCCTCACTGGGGTGTGATTGGTTGGTGTCCGTCATAAATATCGATGGACATATAGGAGAGTCAGAAGAGAGAGCCTTAGTCTGAGAGCTAAGTCTATAACGACGCCCATTGGACTACGCCATTGATCTACACCTTTTACCTGCGACTACGAAGCGTACCAGTCGATTACTGCTACCGTATTCTACTTGGTTATAGTAGCCAAAACCACTTAGCTACTTCGTTCAAATATATCCCTTTCCGGGATATATCACTTTTCTTTCAGCATACAGTCAGTTTTTAGACACACTGGAGTGACAGGGTGTAATAGATTTCTATTTTTCCTAGATTAAGTGATTTGCAGTATGAATCTATTTTTGGGGTGTATGATGAAATTTGTTTCTCTTTGAAAATATTGCGTCATTCGTAATTGCATCAGATTTTCATCACGCCCAGACACTATTGAAGGTATGCAATTGAGTTAAAGCCATGTGTACAAAATATTTAGATTTCAGCATTAAATAACCACAGAGTTGGTGATATGCTCTTAAACAAAATCAATCAAACCAATCGAATCCCGTGACCATACACCCTTGTGAAAATTAATTGAAACAACCGCATTAGTTGTCTTTCTTTCATCATATGGTCAGTTTTAGATCCACTGGAGTGACAGGGCGTAATCGATTTCTATTTTCCCCCAGATTAGGTCATTTGCAGTAGTGTGCAGTAATATAAATGTATTTTCGGTGTGTATGATGACATTTGTTTGGCCTTGAAAAATATTGCAACATCCGTGATTGCATCAGATTTTCTTCACGCCCAGACACTATTGTCTCGTCTGTCGATTAGTTGTCCCACGTCCATTGTCTGCGATGGACGTTACTCCAAGGAAGCATACGAAAATTGTAACGCTGCATGAAGACACTGGCAAGCCTTACCAGTGACCAAGACAAAGTACTATAGACGGGACCGGAAACTCCTGATTTAAATCCAATCGAGAATCTGTGGTTAATCTGCAAGGAACGACTTCGTGGTATGGACATACGAAGTACTAACATGTGCACTGGGTCATGTTTCATTGGAAAAATACAAAAAAGTAAATACTAACGGAATTATTCATTTTGTTTCAATTAATTTGCACAAGGGTGTATCAGAAACTATATCTGTCATGAAAGGAAGGGGAATGATAAAAGAAGAAAAGACAACTGGCTGAGTTTATTAGCATCTCCGCTTCAGTCACTTTCCAACTGCCGTAGCTTAGCTTCCTTGTGTCTTGCCGATAAAAATATCTTCATGCTAATTGTTTTGATGATCTTTACTCTTGGGTACTTAGACTTTACGAATTTAAGCGCAGTACTTGATTGGTAGTTAGGTTTCATCATTTTACAGTTGATATGGTTAAATGTAACCGTAAGTTCTATGCTAATAGTTTCTTCTCTCGCACTTCTCGTTTGCGGAAGTCTCTTCCTGCTTCTTGCTTTCCAGTCAACTTCGATCTTCAAAAATTTAAATGCAATATCAATCGTTATCATCGTAATTCCTGTTCTTTTATTGTTATCTCTGTTAAGTAGTATTTCTTCTTCTCATACTCTTTCAGACCGTGGCGTCTTAGAGTCTTTACTGCCTTGCTTGTGGTGAAATGATTAAAAATATGTGTTCGTGTATGTGTGTTTGTGTGTGTATGTGTGCATTTTACCTGTGTCTTGCATAAAAACTGTCTGCGTTTATGGTTATGTATAAGTGTTATATCTTTTCTGTGTTCACTCAGGAAAGACATCGGTGATTCACTGTGGAAAGTTGACAGCTACATTGGCATCTATCTATCTATCTATCTATCTATCTATCTATCTATCTATCTATCTATCTATCTATCTGTTCATATTTATCTATCTATCTATCGCAATCTGTTCATATCTAAGTCTGTTTATATCTATCTATCTATCTATCTATCTATCTATCTATCTATCTGTTCATATTTATCTATCTATCTATCTATCGCAATCTGTTCATATCTAAGTCTGTTCATATCTATCTATCTATCTATCTATCTATCTATCTATCTATCTATCTATCTATCTATTGCAATCTGTTCATATCTATGTCTGTTCATATCTATCTATCTATCTATCTATCTATCTATCTATCTATCTATCTATCTATTGCAATCTGTTCATATCTAAGTCTGTTCATATCTATCTATCTATCTATCTGTTCATATTTAAGTCTATTCATATCTATCTATCTATCTATCTATCTATCTATCTATCTATCTATCCTAGGCTCTTCACTTACCTATGTAAATGCAATAGATTAAACCTAAATACTGAAAAATAAAAGGCAAACTCAATCTTCTCAAGCAAAATTCTGCTCAATATCTTTACTTAAAAATAACACAATAAATAAATCATCATCAGCAGCAACAACAACAAAGCCAGAAACCATTCAACCCTCAATTTTAACTGTCACTCCCTCTGAGCCCGTTGAAAATATGTCATAAACAAACAAACAACCAGCTTACCTGTTCAGTATGCACAGGTGCTTTTCGGAAGGCCATGAACACCTGTCTTCTCCCTTCCCACAGAGAATCTGGCCCTCGCCATAACAATCTTCACGGAGCTTCGCTGTCTCCTTCGCTTATTCGATCAAATTCCGTTAAATTCATGGATTGTTTGCCCACCGAGCCAGGATGGGGCTCGGAGCGCGTCTGATTCTTTTCTGTTGGGGCCATATTCGCCCTCCCATGCACCTGTAGCTGACCGGGACCCGGCACAGAAGGTGGGGCTCTGCAAAGGGCCAACTCCGACCAGGCAAGATTGTGAAGTAAGAAAGAGAAAATGACAGGTTCCAGAAATTAATTGAGACCTTACTTGAAATGCAGGGTTAGGGTGCATTTCACTCTACTTATATAGTCGTTAGTGTGGGTGTCTCTATAAACCTGGGTGTGTGGGAAAGTCTTGATTATTCAGGGCTTGTATAGGTACTTATTTATGCTTGTATTTGTGTGTGCCCATTTCAGAGTGTGTGTGTCCATGCATGTTTGCGTGTGAACATTCTAAGCGTGTTTACGCGAACGTTTGGAGATAGATTCAATAAGAGAACATTATGTAAACATCAGCATTACTAACAATTACTTGCGAAATCGTTTTGTTTACCAAAACAGGTGCCTATTATATCCAGTCTTAAGTTGTTTTAATTCTTCATATTATTATTCTATGTGCCATGTCCCTTCAGGACGTTGGTAATTGTAAGCTCTCCACAATTTAGTATCCATTTAACCTCTTAATAAATTTTGTTTTTTGTTATCTCTCCTAAACCCTGTTTTGTCATCTATTTACACCTTAGGTAGGTTATGTGGTGTTTCCCTCTCTACCCACCCCCTTGTTGTCATTTTTTTCCAAGCCCTCTTTCCTCATTATGAGTCCTGGAAATTTCAAATCTCTCTTTCTGATGTTAAGGTTCTATGGATTTTCTATTTTGATTTACAACATGTCAACCTCAATAGGTTATTTAATGTCAACAAGATCTTTAGGATGGATTCGTAGAAAGAGAACATGCATTCTTTTAAGAAATCAATTTTTAGATCAGGTTTCATTGATGTATTTTTGTAAAGCATGGACAAATAGTAGACTTATAGATATGTAAGATAAATTCTGGAGAGAAAAATTGTCTATGTCGGCATAGTGAACCAACTTTCTTAGCAGCTGACCTAGCAATAGATTCAATATAGTCTTTCCACTTCATATCAACAGAGAACGTTAGCCCAAGAACGACTCACTTTCCTGGAGGATAGCATCAGCCATGCTGATGGAAAGCATCAAGAGGTCTCTCGGATGATTAATGGAGATAATTTTTAGTACTGGAGGCATTACAATTAACAAGCCATCTTTTGCCCCAGTTAACAACGGACTTGAGGTCGTTTTGGACATCGGTTGCCATTTTGACTTTGTCAAAGTGTTAAGCTTTACTATCGAGGCAAGAGTAAATTGTTGTCGTCAGCGTAGATACCAAATTGGGAGCTGATGTCATCAAGAAAGTCATTAATGAAAATTAAAAACAGAGTAGGATCAAGGATGGAGCCCGGGGAGGGGCACCTGCTTTAGTACGAAAGGATTCAGACGTGCGGCCGTTCAGGATAACTTTCATTTCACAATTTGATAGGGAAGACAAAAAAGTGTTCGTTAGTAACGTTTCATCACCACCGAGCAAACTCAGAATGTTCTTCAGCGATTATGAATCATTTGACTTCTCAATCTGGTTTCTTGTTTTGAACGTCTATTAAAACTCAAGTTCAAGTCGGAATTCAAGTAGAATTCGTACATATAATCCACCGCCAAAGATGATGGTAAGTTATTTTTGTTTAGCGGCATATCAACACCTCTATGGGTTATTTAATTCCGAAATCTAAATATTTTGAACGCAATTTTATTTTATCTTTTGAGATAACAATGGTTTAATGATACAAGTCTTACTAATTGACCCATAGATGGGGGTGGGAGAAGAGGTGAATTCATACATTTTCCAAGGATATTTGCGCGTAAGTAAATATAGCGAATACAACTGGAATTGGAACACAGCTCTCATATTATCAATTCCGAACCATTAGCCATTAGACCAGTCGCACATCCAAGCTTACAACACCTGATATTCCCAAGCGGTCACCCATATAAGCACGGACCAGACTCGACATTGCTTAACTTCGTTGATCGTACGCCCGCTAAAGATGTTGATTAATAAAGAAAAAAGATGTCAGAACCATGATCGAGTAGGTCCTGAAGAGACATTGTCATGTTGATATTAATATTAACCGTTTCCTTATAAGGAAATATTTAACATTCATTGACCGAGAAGCCAGGGATACTTTCGGTTGAAATTTATAAAATCTTTCTATATAAACAATTTTTTTTTACGAAAATAGGTTTCTCGAGTTCGGTAGCTATTATAATTTTTTCAGAAGTGATGAGGGTTTCCTTCCTAACCTTTTGTTTGAAATAGTGGAGAACGTCAACATCTTCATTATGTCATCATTTTCTAGTCGAGTTACATGTGCTATCCATTTTAGTTGTTACCGCGGTTGAAAGTCTTTCCCTAAAACCTACAGGCTTCACTCGCTCGAATATATTTTTAACCATTATATATACATATAATGAAAAAACATTCCTTTGGATAAATTATTTCATATGCTTGAGTGATTAATTCGTTTTCTACGACTTATCAACCCTTTGCAAGTTATTTTTAGATTGTAAGAATTAAAAAAAAATAATGATTTAGTGATACTAGTCTTATTAATTAACCAATATGTGGGGGAGAAGAAGTGG